CGAAAATATTTCGTTTTAAAATAATTTTCGATTCAGTTTTTATTCCGTTCGAAAATTTAAAATTATCGTTTTTATTCTGTTCTCCTTCTTAAAATAAATTACGTTTTCGTTTTCGTAAACGAAAGGCTTTTTTTTTCGTTCTCGTTTTCGTTCTCGTGTACGAAAATATCACTGATTACAAGATCATAAAATAGATCATACATTACGAGGTTTGCTTAGGTTATTGATATATGCTAGAAATAAGAGCAACCGTAATATAAATCCTTGTGATACTCCACAAAATATATTCAAATTGTTTTTCCGTATTTATGAGAAATATAATGCTGTCTATTTGACAGGTAGCTTTTAATCCATTTAAGGTTCGAGTGTTTAATGCCGTAGTAGGCCTAGAAGAGAAGTGAGCCCTGAAGTTTGCTATCCCGCAAATTTGGCGAGAGCCGACGGACTACTCAAGCAACTGCTTTTTCTGCATAATAAACCCAAAAAATTGTTGCACCGGCGAAAAATGCTCCTCAGACCGTTTATCCGAACATACCTTCTTCCATCGCCCCAGTACCACACAGCCCAAATCTGCCTGTTCCGACTCCTCTTTAGCGGTATTGGTCATCTTCAGGAGACGGCAAAACACATTTGTGCTCAATCTTATACAAATACAAAAGTTCTTTGTGTATGAGAACATTATTTCTTGAATATAAAAAATGTCACGTAACAAAATTGCATCATCATATGTAGGGTAATTTTTTTTGATAAATATAATAAACTAAGAAGCATAAGAAAACTGGAGATTATAAATTTTTGAAAAGTATTTTAGTTAAAAAAATGCAACCAATCAATTGAAAATTTTTATCTCTAAACATCAAGGTGACAGTGAAGTGTATTATTTTGCAATCATTTAAAAGAAAATTTATAAAAAAATAAAACAAAAAAGACCTTTTGTATGGTTTGTGTAGTTAATTTTCAAACGCTTTTGCTGGCAAACAGAAAATAAACTTTTAAAATCGAGAATGTTTGCTTGGTACCTTTAAAGTATAGGTTGTGGTTAAGGGCAGGGTGATAAAATTTTTTTGAGTAATTAAAAATTAAAAAAAAACCTGTTATCTTTATAGGGTTCAAAACATCGTTTTAATATTTTATAAACAAAAATATTAACATTGTCTTCCTTAATCGATTAATTTAAATTGTTGGTGATCTAAATCAAAGGGTGATTTTACCCAATCAAGTATGTTTTCTATGTCATGAGTTTGATCAGAATTACTTTCATTTATTGTTAATTGATGAGTATCATTGTTTTCATTTTCATTTTTTTCCCTCAGAGGTAATGTTGATTATGTTTCTATACAAA